CTTCCAGTTTTATTGAGATGTAATTGACATACAGCACTGGTAAGTTTAAGGTATATGAGCATAATGATCTGACTTGCAGACATCATGAAGTGATGGTCACAATAAGTTTAGTGAACATCCATCATCTCATATAGATACAAAATTAAGGAAAGAAAAGACTTCTTGTGTGATAAGAATTCTTAGGACTTACTCTCTTAACAATTTCCATAATAACATACAGCAGTGTTAATTATATTTATCATGTTGTGCATTATATCCCTAGTACTTATTTATCTTATAACTGGAAGTCTGTACCTTTGGATTGCTGTCATCTAATTCTTCCCTCTCCCCCGACCCCCACCTCTGGTAACCACAGATCTGACCTCTTTTTCTATGATTTTGTCTGTATGTTTGTTTTCGAGGTGTAATTGACCTATAACCTCCATTAGTTCCTATTACACAACATAATGATTTTTCTCTGTACATTTCAAAATGATCACCTCTGTAAATCTAGTTACAATATGTCACCACAAACGTGTTGTTTACTTATTGACCGTATTCCCTACACTGTGCATTTCATACCCGTGACTTACTTATTTTGCAACTGGAGGTTTGTACCTCTTAATCTCTCTCACCTATTTCTAGCTCCCTCACCTGCTTCCCCTCAGGCCACCACCTGTTTGTTCTCTGTGTTTATAACTGTTTCTGCTTTGTTCTGTTTATTCATTTGTTTTGTTTGTTGGATTCCACATATAAGCAAAATCATACAGTGTTTGTCTTTCTCTGTCTTATTTCACTTAGCGTAATATCCTCTAGGACCATCCATTTTTTTGTTTTTCCTTTTTATGGCTGAGTGATATTCCATTGCATGTATGTAACTTTGTCCATTAACATTTAAACTAATTATTGATAGATATGAGCTTATTGCCATTTTGCTTAGTGTTTTGGGTTGTTTTGATAGTTCTTTTTCATTCCTTTCTTCTCCTCTTGTTCTCTTCCCTTGTGATTTGATGATCATCTTTCATGTTATGTTTGGATTCCTTTCTTTTTTTCTGTGTATCTATTATAGATTTTTGGTTTGTGGTTATCATGAGGTTTATATATTGTAATATATATGATTATTTTAAGTTTATCTCTTAAGTTTAAACACATTTTAACAACGCTGTGTTTTTACTATCTTTTTTTTTTTTTACTATTTTTGACACCATATTTTACATCCCTTTGTTTCGCATATCCCCTAACTACTTATTGTGGATGTAGATGGTCTTCCTTTTGTCTTTTAACCGTCCTACTAGCTTTAGACATGGTTGATTTACTGCCTTTACTATATATTAACCTTTCCCAACGAGACTTTTCCTTTTGTAATTTTCATGTTTCTAGTTGTAGCTTTCTCTAGTCCCTTAGACAGTTCCTGTAAAGCTTACCTGGTGGTGCTGGACTCTTTTAGCTTTTGCTTGTCTGTAAAACCTTTGATTTCTCCATCAAATCTGAACGAGAGCCTTTCTGGGTAGAGTATTCTTGGTTGTAGGTTTTCCCCTTTCATCACTTTAGATGCATCATGCCACTCCCTTCTGCAGAGTTTCTGCTGAAAAATCAGAGGAACCTTATGGGAGCTCCCTTGTATGTAATTTGTTGCCTTTCCCTGTCTGCTTTTAGTATGCTCTCTTAATCTTTAATTTTTGCATTTTAATTACAATGTGTCTTGGTGTGGTCCTCTTTGGATTGATCCTGTTTGGGCTCTCTGTGCTTCCTGGACCTGGATATCTGTTTCCTTTCCCAGGTTAGGGAAATTTTCAGCTATTATGCCTTTAAATCTATTCTCTGCCCCTTTCTCTCTTCTCATTCTGGGACTCCTATAATGTGAATATTAATATACTTGATGCTGTCCCAGAGGTCTCTTAAACTGTCCTCATTTCCTTTTATTCTTTTTTCTTTTGAGCATCAGTGATTTCTACTCGTCTGTCTTCCAGCTCCCTGATCCATTCCTTGTTATCATCTAATCTACTGTTGATTCCTCTCGTGTATTTTTCATTTCAGTGATTGAATTCTTCTGCTCTGTGCAGTTCTTCTTTATATCTTCTAACTCTTTGTTAAACTTCTCATCATGTTTATCCATCCTTCTCCTGAGTTCTTTGAGTGTCTTTACAATCAGTACCTTGAACTCTTTCTTGGGCAGATTGCTTATCTCCACTTCACTTAGTTCTTCTGGAGTTTTATCTAGTTTCTTCATTTGGAATGTATTCCTCTGTTGTCTCATTTTGCCTAATTTGCTGGTTTTATTTCTGCGCATTTGGTAGGTCAGTTACATTTCCTGACCTTGGAGAAGTGGCCTTTTGTAGGAGATGTCCTATGTGTCCCAGCAGCACACGACCCTCTGGGCACCAGAGCTATGTGTTCTAAGGGTGCCTACCCTGCATGGGCTGCATAGGTCCTTCTGTTGTGGTGGGCTGACCCCTGTGGGTGGTCTGGAAGGTGTGGCTGGCCCCTCATCTGGTTTGTTGCCAGGCCCTTCCTCGTGTGAAGGCTGCTGGCAGCTGGTGGGTGATGCCAGGTCACGAGGCTGCTGGTTACAGGGCCCTGGGTGGTCCTGGGGGTAGTGTTGGCCCACTGGTGAGCAGAGCAGCGTTCTGGAATGGGTGGTTGCAGGCCTAGGAGTCCTGGATTTAATGTTGGCCTGCTGATGGGTGGAGCCAGTTCCTGACATGGCTAGCTGCAGGTTCTGGGTGTCCCATAGCTGGTTTTGGCCTGCTGATGAGTTGGGCTGGATCTTGGGCTGTCCTGGGGAAAAGTGCAGGCCCACTGGTGGGTGAGGCTGGGTTTTGGGTCCTCTGATGGACAGGGCCAGGTCCCAAGGCAGCTGTGTGCTCTGAGGGTCTTAAGGCAGCAGGACTGCTGGTCCGTGGGGCTGTGTCTCCGCCCTGCTAGTTGCTCAGCCTGAGGTGTCCTGGCCCTGAAGCCAACTGCTGGTGGGCAGGGCTGGGTCTCGGTGCTAATAAGCTAGATAGAAGATCCCACAGTGGCGCTTCCCAGCACCAGGGTCCTCAGCACCAGAACGAGATCCCAGAATGGCTCTGCCAGTGTCTGTGTCCCCAGGGTGAGCTGCTGTCGCCTCCTGCCTCTCCGGGAGACTCTCCAAGATCAGCATTTGGTCTGAGTCAGGCTCCTTTCAGATGACTGCTTCCGACCTGGGTCCTGGAGCCTGTGAGATTTTGTGTGCTCCCTTTAAGAGTGGAGTCTCTATCTCTCATCGCCCTCTGGGTCTCCCAAAAGTAAGACCCTGCTGACCTTCAAAGCCAAACATTTTGGGGGCTCATCTTCCGGGTGCAGGACCCTTGGGCTGGAGAGCTGATGGGGGGATTGGACCCCTCACTCCTCGGGGAGAACTTCTGTAATTGTAATTATTCTCCC